TATGACTTTGGTGATCCCTGACTTGTCCTGTAGTGCAACCATCAAGTCAAAGTATTCACTTATCCTGCAAAAGATCTACTAGATAAAGTAGCACAAAACTTTGTGCGGACATTCATAGCTCCCAGATGATGTAATCTAAAGACTTTGGTGATCATCTGATTTTTCTTCTATTGTGCCACCATCAAGTTGAAAATGTTATTTGTCCAATACTTTTACGTTTTATGACCAATGCAAAACTAATGACATTCTCATCAGTCTCAGTTGCACTTTGTGTTTATGCTAAATTGCTTATCTAAAAAAGTGAACATAACAAACATTATACCTGAAAATGTTACTATGTTGAGGTTAGGATTTAGCACAGCCCCACAGAAATGCTAGCAGCATCACTGTAAACTTGTTCATGGAGTACCATCAACTTAAAAAAACACTATACAGCAACTGTATAGCAACTGTATGGAGGCAATAATTTTACTTGATTATATGCTATTATCCCACTGCATTGATGCCCTCACCTTCATCTGAACAATGGAACTGAAAATGGCTTTAGAAATACAGCAAAGACGAACAACAGCGGTGGACAGTTCGATCTCACTGATGCGCCAGTAAAAAGGTAAAGAGAGGCGAGATGAGACTTGATACAAAGGATTAAGCAGTATTACAGCCATCTCCACACAGCTGATTCATATTCTGCACACAGTGGAATCAGCTTCCGTGTACATAAACCCAGACAGGTCTTGACTAATGACTTAGAGCTCATTGTTTAATCAGTAGACATACATGTCTGAACATTAAAACCCACTACGCTTCTGTCTGATGTGATTCTTTCCTTTTTTCCATCAGTCCTAATACACACACGCTCACAACCGTAACAGTGAGCTACTTCAGTTTCCTCCCAGCTGGCAACACAATTCCAGGGGTTGGAAATACTGGCTTCTGCTTTGACTGCCTCCTTAGACAATACTTATTCCACATTAGCTGTGTCTAGATGATGTGTTCACACACTGTATTTCACAGTGTGTGAGCTATGCAACCTACGCCTTATTAGGGAGTGCCCTCATTAAAAAGCCGCCAGTGAACACGCCTCGTCAAAACATAATCTCTGTTTCAGGAGGCTTGGTTGAACCACCGCCCGAGTGAGCACAAACACGCAGAGTAAGAGTGACATAAAGTGAGACAGAGCAAGATGGAAAGACAGAAAATCTGATTAACTGTCAAGCTGCAAGATGAATTCAGGGGAGAGACATGTTGAACGCAAAATCAAGAAAACTTCACAACACTGACAAAGTCTCAAATGCACAAACCTTTCAGGAGGTGTTATATAAGTATGAAAGAGGAGGCTCCCTGGGAATTAAACCAAAATCTGCTCAAACTTGTTCAGTGATAACAAAGAAATCTGTGTGCATCCTTTGAGATGTCCACTTGAACAAAAGGAGAAAAAAAACGTATGCTGCAACAAAATGGTGGCTGGCATGAAATTGGGACATACTACCAAACTCTGAAAAACACAAAAATATAAGCAATGAGGCAACACATGCACATGAATAAAGGCTGGCTGATTATTGTGAGAGAGGAAAGAAAGAAAATGAGAGAAAGATTGTGCAGACAGTGACGTGCAGGAGATACTAAAGGTTACACCAGGTCAGCACACATGATTTTAGCATATTAAAACGGCTTAAAATGTAGTCTGTAATTGACAAGCGATTACAAGGGTAACATGTGAACTGTGAGTATAATCTCAGCTTTTACGTTGGCTCTACGTTTTCTTTCAGTTGCCATTGTATCAGCATCCATTCAATATCAAAGTGTTTTTTGGGGAAACGCTCTCTGCCAAACAGCCTCACTGAGTGTCTCTTCTCTGCTGCCTATTAATATCCAGCCAGCTACCTGGCATTGGACGGATAATAGTGCTGTGTGTTAGCTCAACAACAATCACTTAAAATGTTAGAGAATCATTTCGCATTTCGCTCAATGTTTTTTCAAGAATGCCGAACATTCTGAATGTCATTAAGCCCAGCATAAGATGGAACAATCCTACACCAAATACTGTGATAAGGAGAGAGGCCTCCCAAGGAACGCCCTACACATCATCAACACATCTTTTCTATGACTGAAGAGAAGATAACTCCCCAAAGAGAACCCCAGGAGAACAGGGCTGCATCGCTGCTGTGTGTGCTGACACACTGGAAACTGATTCACACTGTGTTTGATCATATCTTTGGCACCAATATGATGCAAACAAGAAGGAGAGAAATCCAGGTCATGCTCAAAGCCCTTCAGAGATTTCTTACTTTGCACAAACTTCTCTCACTCCACTAAATCTCACTCCTTTTTTTTAATCCCCTGTCTGTGTTGTATTGCATTATTGCCGAGAGTTTTCTTCCGCAGAGTGCCTGTATCTGTTTCAGTCAAAAGATCATCGGTTGTCACGCTAACACTCCCATCCTCTTTTCCTCTTTCTCTGCTTGCCCTCTCAACCCCGCTCTTTCTCTCTCCTTTCCCTTTCCTCTTTGCTTTGCTGATTGCCTCTTCCTCTACTTTCCTAACTATCTATCATTCTCCATCTTCCTTCTCCTCATATGTCCTCCTCTTCCCTCTCCCCACCTCTCGCTCAACATAAAGAGTCACTGCACATTACAGTAATGTCAACTCACCTATAAACACGAGCTCTCTCATCCATCACATCAATAATTAAACTGGCCTTTTGACATTGACATCACACAGGAGAATAGCTCTGAATTGGTACAAACAGGGTGGGAAAACATATAGTTTCTTTTAATAATTTGCTTAAGAGTCAATGGAGCATGTTCCTCCCCCCGCTATCGCTCCTCATTTCTTTTTTATGAATAAGTGATGAGATTCTGCTGTTATTGTTTGGCGGTTGCACAACATTGGTATGCAGACTGAGACAAAAGAAGACAGACTTTTTTTTTTCTCTTTCTCTGTGTGCCGTTGACAAACAGTTTGTCTGCACTTAATGAATCACGCAGCGATCATTTAATTTTGATTGGGTGAGCGGCTGCAAGAGTTGTGTTTCACGGACCTCAGAGTGAGTCAGAGAAAATGGAGTCAGGCCTGGCTAATAAGACATGAACTGCACACAGAGTGATGGCGGCACCAAAGTGCATTTGTCCTCTGTGGCCATTAATGTCAAATCTCACAGAGAAATTATGGCGTTTATTAAGAGTGAGTGCGTTTAGACAGAAAGTATATGTGTGTGTCTGTTTGTGCATGCGTATGCGATGCAACTCAGGCAACACTAAGCATTAGTACTCTCTGGCTGGAGACACTACCTCCATTAAATCACAGCACGAACCCAAATGGAAGAGGTCAACAGTGACAAGACTGGCTGAGGTTTAATCTGCAGACAGGTAGGGGTTCATGCTAGGACACCGGAGTGCAAACACTCCTCCAAGGTTGTCATTAAATCGAACCAGGTGAGCTGTGAAATATTACCGGCTTGTGACAAGTCAAATAAAGTTCCCGCTTTGAAGATATATGCCATTTGACATATAATCTTATCTGATTTAACTTTGGAGCATATATTTCTTGTATGGGTGGCAGCAGTGGGAATTAAACTGTTGAGTGTTAAACATTAATTCATCCTGATATTTATATTCAACACAGTAAAATGCATGAGGACCAAACCTAACTTTATGACTTTATTAAGGTACAGTTGAGACAATGACTTTGGAGAGGCACAAAATCTGAACTTATGACACAGTAAAAGCATTACAGTAAGCTGCTAGCACATTGAAACTAGGGAATATTGGACAACAGCTTTCAGTAGCAGCTTTGCCCACAAGTAAAGTGATTGTTCCAGCATCTGAAGTTGTCTGAATTACATAACTGCCACTTTAAAGAGTTTGAGAGTGGATGGATGCTGAGAGCTACTCCAGCTCAACCTTTGTTCTTGAGTCATGGATTGAGTCAGATTGTCTGGAGAGCTACTATTGTCCACAAAGTACAAGAGGTCCCTCAGACCCTAACTGGTATCTAGTGTATTCATTTTCAAGGCAGTGTATCGCATCAGTCAGTGGATCAAATGACAGGCAAAGATCTTTCTGCGCAAATACATTTTAAATAAAGAGATGAAATATATATTAAAAAAATTAAAGATACATTGCAGTCATTATTAATGTATCAGTTCTGTTTCTTTGGTATAGTTTCTTCTTGTCTTTAGCTTCCAAGTAATAATTCTTCAATATAAATCGCCTGAAAACACTGCTCTAATGCTGACCCTTTATGAACCCAGGATCTGGCACTGAAATTCACTTTCACTGTTGAGACTTATCAATATGTAATACAGCTAGTGAGGGAACTGAAATAACGGAGTGTTGTTTTTATTGCGATCACAACCACAGACATGATCCAGGAGGAGTGAGAGATGGTAAAAAAACAACAGAAAAGCAAGAAAAGGTCAAATTTCTGTCACTGTTCTTCTTCCATCAGATGTGTTCCAGAGTGAGAGACAGTGTCCAAGTGTTAGGATCGCAGCATCAGGCCAGTTGCCTATAACAAAGGCAGTAAGCTGTATACAATCAATAACAGAGACAGACTTGTTAATGTGTCTCTGAGAGTGAGAGCGATGAAATTCATGCAGGCCTTAACCTAACCCTCAAAACCTTCTTTGTTGCGAGTTATCCATAGGCCTGGAACCAAAAAGTGAAACCCTGGATTCTGAGGAGATTGCTTCTGAAGCTTGATGCATTGATAGTGTTGGATGAGGGACTCCTTCGGCTTTAACTAAAATCCAGGGTGGCTTTAGTGGGGTGGCCGGGGAGTTATGTCGACCAACCACACAGGGCTCCATTCTCGTGCAAATTTTCACCCAGCTGAGGTTCCCCTCATTAAGAAGCTCGAGCAGCTTACCGCCCTGTAACTAACCTGACCTCTGACTGCCAAGGTGATGCAACAAACAAGACAACTTCCCTGTGGAAATCAATTGAGAATCCAACATACTTTTATAACTTTCAGACTCGCCTAACAACACAAAGACATACCTCCACTTGTTGACAGATCTGGATCAGCTTGGCCATTTGATTCTCCAGTTCACTGTTCCTCTTAACCAGGTTTGTCAGGTTGTTCTCCAGGGTTTGCTGTTGGGGCGGAGAAGGAGGAAGGAGCAGGGACAAAGGGCAGAGGAGGAAGACCAGGAACAAGGACACAAAACCAAACATTAGCATATATAGCTGCCAGTGTTCATTGACTCAGAAGCACCACCATCGTTACTGTGTATTTAAATGTGAAACACTCAGCTAACCAGGCACTAACCAAGATCTAAGTGGTTATTTCAGTTTCTTTAAATGCAATTGTGTTTTTTCATTAAACCAAAAATAAAGAAGATATCAATCAATAAAATCTGACATATGTGATGTTACATGATGTCTTTAATGTAACATTTTTGGCGACGTCTGTGATATGAGTTCCCTGTCATCAATATTCACACGGAGAAATTATACATTGTATGTGTGATACTAAATAAATGGTCACTATTAAGATCCTGAATTTCTGCTTTGCCTTCTCTGTTCCATATTGATGCTCTACAGTGCTCATTCTTCCTTTGACCGTGGCCTGAGGGTTCCTTTATGATATATGAAATCCATGCAAAACTACAAATATAAAACTGCTGTTAAGGGACCAGTCATTTAAAATACTTCAGTACATGGGTCCAAATGCTATGAAGGTTTGTGAGAAAGAAAAGGTTGATATAGTCCTGGTAAAAATGATGCAGGATAAAGAGTTTCTACCACAGTGGTCATGAAACAATGTGCTAAACATCTACAGTATATCTATTTTATTATGTGAAATCAGAAAGACAAAAAATACTTTTGTGTTATGTGACGTACTGTAGGAATTCAGAAATAATCAAAAAGGAAAGAAAAAGTCTCACTGACTGTTTAAACCAAAGCACAGCACTGCAAGGTTTTCTGTGTTTGACCGTGATCTTAAAATTATTTCTTTAGCTGAATAAAAATGGGGTTACACAGATATGCCAATACCTTTAAACTAGCATTTGAAACTAAATATACAATTTATTGCTGCTGGAAAGAAAACAAATTCACTCCTTAATCGCTATTCTTTGCCTTTTAACTACTACAAAGGCTTTTGTACTGTAGCAGTTTTATTTGGTAATATATTGTCTGTAATATGATAATTTAACTGCCCGACCTCATCATACTTTACTTTAAAGCCCCAGAAACAACCATATGTCCCTGAAAAATTAAACCGATGGACCTCCACTGGCAATTTAAATGATCAAACAGTCAATTACTATCCCTTAACTGTGACTGTTTGTCAAATGCAAGAAAAAAAACAGACACACACATAAATAAACTCAGACACATATACACTACAAACGATGAAAATGGAAACAAGCAAATGGCAAGCCAGAAATAGAACTGCCGTTCAAAGGAAGCAAATCAACGATGGCGGCGACGACGATGGGCATCAAAACAACAACAACAACAACAACAACAACAACAACCACAGCTGCAACGAGAACATCAGAACAAAGCAGCAGACAAGCGGCGGGTGTTTGAAGTAGGTCTACTCATGCAAGTGAAAGGGAGGTGGGCTGGACAAGCACCTGGCCACGACTCTGACTGTCTGACTGTACCTCTCTGTCTGTCAGGCAGCCTCGCTGCTTCCCAATATCTCCTCTGCCTGTCGCTCAGCCTGATCCACTGCCTGTTGTCTGTTTGACTTTGCACTCACTTAATTATTTATCTGCCTGCTTATCTCCCTGCCTGCATCCCTTCCTTATCCATCCAGGTGTCTACCTATGTGCCTGTCTGCCACTGTCTGCGTCCAAGCAGCGGGGATTGGGGGAGGGTAGGGGAGGACGGGTGGGAGGGTTGGTAAAAGGCAGCCAGGGAACTCACCGCAGCGCTTGTCTTTGAAGCCTCCATTACCGCATCTGACACTCTGCCCGGGCTCACCTGATAAGCCTACGAACACACACATACACCCACGTAAGTGCACACATAAACACACACGTACGCACACACACACACACACACACGGACACACAGACAAGCCTGGTCGCACAATTCTGCCACCTAAAGTAACGGAAGAGGAGAACACCCCCCTGATAAAGTTGCCACAAACACTCTTCTCATGGTCCTAAGCAAGGTGTTGAATGCACATGAGACAGTGTGGCTCGCAGTGTCTGTTAATATTTGTTTCCCTGAAACTGGTGCTGGACTTACATTACTGGAACAAGCATTTGGTTGTTGTGTCACAGCGCTGTGTGAGTGTGTTTTTGTATGAGGGAGTTTGGAGTGGAACATCAGTGAGAGGGGACAGATGGGTCATTAATTAGCAAGCTGGAGACGAAGATGATTAATACATCAGAACACAGCTGCGTCCCATGAGACTGCAGTGAAACAAAATCCTCTGTCCTCTACATACATGCATGTGAGTGTGTGTTTCTGCCTGACTTTGTGTGTGTAGGTGTACCTGCATATATGCATAACCCTTTATACATTAAGCATGTATGCTGTCAAAGACATGCACACGTCTCTGTGTATGTAGATGACATTTGCTAATACTTTGTAGATCCCCTCTAAAAGTGAAGTGACCGCACAAAAGTGTCCATTGTGTGTGTGCAGACAGGGTGCTGCCTGACTTGTGTTGACCCTCCTGTGGCTTCAGCCCAGCAGGCAGGACGAGTGGCAGAGAGAGAGGGGGAAGCAGAGGAACCGTCAACAACAAACTCATTAAAACACACAACAGACATCAAAGACGTCTAGAACCACTCAGAGATAGAAAGAGGCAGCGGAAAAAAAACGCGGGTAGAGGGAAGAATGGAGGCAGTAAAGGATGTGATTGGTGGAAGAAGGTGCCAGCAAGTGTTGGATGGATGACATACAGGGGCTGGCAAAATGAAATGTCAACCCAAACCAGGATAACAATTTTATAATATGATACGATGGCTTATTCTGTTATTATCAGAGGAGCTTGTTTGGAACTGGAGCTATTACCCTACCAAGCAAAACCGCAGTAATTGCAATTTTGGTCAAAATTGAGTTATGACTGAAAATTAACTTTTATATGTATGTTTTATCTTGTGACAAATTTTCTAAGTTCAGTCTTGCTCCATCTTAGAGAAAACGTGATGTCAAAATTGTAGTAACTACAAAATCCAACCTAAAACCAAAACTTTAAAGCCATTTTTCTCAGTTTCACTGTTAGCGTAGTTACTGCGGTTATGCTTTGTAGGGCAGAATAGTAAATGACACTGAACTGGATTATACGGAGCAGGTTGCACCATTAAAACTTCATGTCCTAACTACTAAAGACTAGTAGCATAGCTGGCAATGTGTAAATCAGTTCCTAAATGTCAGCACATCCAATCCAAAGAAATCTAACTATGTAAACATAAAGTCACTGTAACTTAAATAAATAACCTATTTAGGGGGCCAATCAGTGTTTTTGTTCATTAGGTATTTTTAGCCACATATAAATACATATAGATAGCAATCATATTGCATCAAAATGTTTTGTAATTTGATGTACTTTGGGTCATTTCAAATTTAAAAAGAGTCTATTTACTGGCAACCAGCGCTATATTTTCAGAATCTATCGACTATTCCACCTAATTGACTAGGAATTTAACTATATACATAAAGACAGACAGTACAGGGGAGTGAAATAATGGTAGAAAAAGAGAAGGGAAAACAGGAAGAACGGAAGGAGGAGAAAATAAAAGCCAAGCAGAAATGAGTGACGAATTGCATTCCAGTTGCTTGAGGCTCATGGTGGGGCTTGCTGGGCTAGGCAAGGTTATTAGCATAAGGTAATATCATTCATTCACTGATTCAGCTTTGGACATGGCATGATGTGAGAGTGAACAGAGAGAGAGTGACAGAGATGGAGGGGGTTGATGGGATGGAAATAGGCATGAGTCCCGTGCTGAGAGGGGCAGCTTGGCAGAGTAGCTCCAGTCTGGCCTACCCACTAATTCAGGCTTCTGTCTCTTCTGCGGCTTTCTTTTCCCTTGTTATCTGTCTCTATCTGTCATTCCCTACCTTTTCTCGCTTTTCTACAGTACGTCTCCTCTCCCTCTAACCTGACTTTCTTCCCTGTCTCCTCCCTCACTCGGTGTCTCTCTACCCCAGTCCTTATTCTGTCCGTCTCGGCACAGTTACAACTGCAGCTGCTGACAGCCCATCATCTTGGGTTAGATCACCACCCCCTCATATGACTTCATTGTGCTGAGGGACTCCTGGGTCTCATTCCTCTACAGATGATCCCATTTCTCTTTGAAACAAAAAAAGGACAGCTCCCAAAAAAGGACAGATTTATTTTACAGTAGCTACAGAGAGCGGAGAGAGGGATTGTGGGAGAAAAAAACGATACCTTTCTTACAGGAGACTTATGATGAGGGTTTACTGAACACACAGTCGACTCAAGTTTGAGACTGCTGTCACAGTTTAATCTCCAGCCATCACTGTTCACAGAGTCTGCAACCGTAGTTCAATTCACACCCCTGCTAAGCCATGAAATTACAGAGAATTGCATCACAAAGTACAGAAATCAAATTATTTTAAAAATGATGTCCATAAGGTGACAATACGAATACGTATGTTTCTGAGAAATCTAACAGGCCAATCGCTAATGTGTGCAAAAGTGTCTGTGTTGTGCTTCAGTAATAACTATGACAGTAAGTGTGACAAATTGACAGTTGGCAATTTCTGAAATCTTATTTCTGTAATCCAATTACAGTGTAATGGGTTACTCCCTAACCTGAGGCATTGGCTGAGCTCATTGTTGCTTTGCTATAGAAACATTAAAGGACTTTTATCAAACTCAAGTTCAACAATGTTATCATAAAAAGAGGTCAGAAACAGTAAGAGGGCACAAGTGTTCTCACATATCAAACATTACGATGTGCTTATAGGGGAAAAAATATCCACAAGGGTTGAATGCTGCATGGCATCACTGCCTAATTAATGACAATGTCCAGTAGCTGAGTCTCTGTGTTGTTACAACAACGTAACAACAAAAAATCTTAACTGCCACCACAACAAAAATGGAACAGAAAGCCCTGAGGCTAAGTAACCAACTTCAAAGTCTTTTTCTTTTAATTAATTCGGGATCCTCCCCCATGCACAAGAGAAACAACGAGACTAACAGAGAATAACAAAAATAAAAGCAAGAGAAGAGAGAGAGATTAATCTCGAGAAAGAGCAATAGAATAGAACAAGCTCACTTTACAGCTGTTGTTAACAAGAGGCTTTTCAGAGTCTGGACGTGTCAGTAACACAAGCCTTCTGGGAAACTGGGTTTTTGTCTGAGGATAATATTCCATAGGGCAGAACTGTTGAGGCCAAAGAATTCAAACAGGGAGTCACGCTTGTCTCATAACTCGCTGGCCGGGGCTCAATTAATGAGACCAATAGGGATGTTTAAAACTAGCTAAAATGTTAACACATTTTGTTTGTATCTCACTACCAAAAGCAGTCTATTTCAGCTTTGCCTGCACCAAACTGGATAAAGGCAGGAATGTTCCCCTGCTGCCAATATATGGAAACAAATAAATATACAACATCATTTCACGTTTACCAGTCAATGTAAGGCAGTAGCTTTCATAGTGTTCGCTCTGAATGATGCTTACAGGTGTTTCAACTCTGAATGAACTGTGACCCTCAAGCTTGTGAACGTTGAAAGGATCTCAAAACAGTTGGGGGTGCATTGATAAGTGCGTCAGACAGCTAGAAGATGCTTGCTTTCATTTATAAGTCTTGTGGGGGAATTTAGATAAAGCTGTTATGAGAAAGCAGGAGAAGTAAGCAGGGAAGGGTACAGAGAGACATATCTACTGCCATAGTTAACCACTCTTAGGACTCAGCTTTATGAATCCCAATTGCTTTTTTCCCTTAAGGTTTATGCTGGGAAAAAGCCATATTAAATGGATAGAAATCCAACAGTAATTCAAGTTTTTAGCCACATGAGGGGATTAGGATCAAGAAATTTCTCTGTTGGTTTGAAAGGGAATAATGAATCGTCATGACTACTGAACGGCAGTCCAGACACAAGCTGGCATTTGATTTTGTTTATAAGACTCTTGGATATCCCATGGGCCTGTGCGTGCTTTTAGCTTCCCAATTATTTGTTTGGGTCAGGGACAGGCTGACCCAGGACTACTTTAAAATGAGAATAAAGGACAGAGAGAATAAGAATTAAAAAGAAATGGCGAACACAGAAATACTGTAGATACTACATGAAGCAATGTCATATTAAAGACCATGTCCCAACCTTGTAGAGGCCTTTATTAGACAATTTCATATCAGATTACAGACTGAGGATACTGTGATATTTGAATGTATAGAGATGGGAATTTAATGCTGCGGGTTATGGGAGGGGGTCTCGACTGAGATGAAGTGGGGTTAGTAGAAACCAGCGATATGGTTAAATGGGCTTAAAGGATCTTTCTGTTTCATTTCAATCGGCCTACACTGGATTCTTGTTGGACCAGTGAAATTCAGTTTTATGGATTAATACTGAGAAAGTAAAATAACACATATACGAATGGCTTGGCTGTTATTCATTATAATCAATATCTCTGCTTATCAGACAGAGCACCTGTTTTTTGACAGTGATAAACAATTTTGTTATAAGTAGTAAGTGCATCTTACAAACGAAGAAACAGCAAATCAATAAACAAAATTGGGGCTGAGAAACTGAGAGAAAAAAAGTTCCTTTAATCAAATAAAATCAATTGTTGTTCTCTAAGAAACATTGGTGCTGCAAATGTCACCTCTGTTAACTTTACTATACAACACTAAAATCATTAGTTTGGTATATATTAATCAGCAGCATCTGACAAATGAGTCCAAGCTCTGGGACCAGATAACTTTCTTTCTGTTTACTGTGCATGCACCTGCATTACAACACGATTAGGTGCATTCACACTGGATGCCAAATTGCTGCTCCTGCAAAACCA